ATCTTCTCAAGGGTGTCTTTCCACTTCCAGTTTGTGGTGTAAGTGCTCAGAATGAATATTTACACACCTGGCATGTATCCCCGCCAACCCAAGAAATGCTAGGTATTCAAATCACCTCCTCTTATGCCTTGGAAATAGAGACTCTAACTTCCGTAAATCTCCACATATTTCAGATATATCCTGACACGTTCTGATATTATCTGGTTAGAAGGCAGGCCGTCTACAACCAAGAATTTGTATTCTCAGAAAACTTCAGTTAAATCTCATTAAATTCTTGTTTCAGGAATGAAGTGACTGAAGTAACTGGCTAACCCGTTCGTTTTTGAAGTTTAAATGTACGTAGGGAAAAACTGAGATTCTTGAAAAGAAACAGTCAAGAAAATACATACGCTTACAGCCGAACAACTTAGGAACTGGCAAAAGAAAACGTGTAGCACTTTTTAGACACACTGTCAAGTGTCTACTTTCAGAATTTGGCTTTGTCTTCTCTGCATAACCTCACGGTCAAGGATCATGTGAAATACATCACCTCTATGATCCGATCCCCACCTTGAGAAGCCTAACTTGAAGTCCTCCATTTTTTTTACAAGAAACAGCAAACAATCTTTTTGTACTCACTTTTGCCATGATTAAGATTCCATAGACTTTTACTCTGCTTCACTTTCCAGTAACTCTTCTTAAATTCTTGCCATTCTTTCCATAATTTTTAATTACTGCATATTATTTTCCATTTCCCTTATCTGTACCTTTGCCAGTTCCGTGCCATTTTGGGGAGTCACGCAAACCAGTTAAGACAGATAATGAAAAGAAGTACAATGAGAAGTCACCATTTGTAAATGAAAAAGTAAGTCTAAAGTTGCGAATGTATTTGCTTTTAAACTCCAAACCTCCAACTTACTTGGTATTACAAAGTCCTCTACTGTAAGGAAGGCTTTGAACATTATTTTAATTAGTTTATAATCCAAAATTTATTAAGAAAAATATACATGTAATGCAAGAAACCATGAAAACACAATGACTGCAATGTCTTTGTGACTCGTATCTACTTGATCTCATGGTCCGGGCAACAAAACAAATGCCTACTCTGATCCCTTCACTCCTTTCCATGTTTCATCCTAGTTAGAATATCTAGGAATCTATTTCTTTCATATCTTCCTCTGAAAGAGAACTTAGGTAAATTCCTAAGTTTTCTTTTCTTCAAGTTATCCTTTCTCCTTTATTTGCAACAGTGCCTTACATTTCAAAATCCTGTCCCACAGACCCCCATTCCAAATTCCCGAAGGCAAATTTTGAGGTATGAGGGAGAACAGGAAAAAATATGGAAGGACTATGATACTAACAGTGGTGCTGGCTGCTTATTCCAGAGAAGGGAAAGAGGGAAGGGTTAGACAAAGGGAGGAAGTGCCTCCCCTCTCTTCTAGAGTGTCTTCAACACCCTTGTAGCTGCATTTAAAACAAAAACTGGGGATTGGAAACAGGGAAAAATAATCAAATTTTCTGCTTCAAAGCATAAAACCAAGCTGGAAATACACTCAACTAATCTAAAATTCACTGAGGGCTATCAGAAAGCACATGTACTTAAAAATAATTTATGATTTGTGAAATAACTTTAAAATTTATTTTAAGGCACTTATGTCTGCTCTACAGTCTGAACAACACCAGGCAGAAACTTGATTTTTTTAAAAACCCAACCATGTTTCGTTATCACAAAAAGCACAGTTTTTCAAAAAGCACATTTTCAAATGTCTGTGCTACACGATAATGACAGGCAAACCAAACGGGGGTCTACAAAAGGCTTCAGTTCTTGAGAGACAGTAATTTCCCATGGAAAAATAAACCTATGCCACCAGCTGGATCTTCCACTCATGTGCACCTGTGCTAATTACTGGCTCAGGCATGACATTTGCAATAAGCCCCTACATGTAAATTCATGGCAGTATTTAAAAATAAAGTGTAAAAACTGGAGAATTTATTGTGCAAAATGCAGCATGACATTAATACTAAACACAGTGAAATACTACTTTCTGTACAACTTTACTGGTGTGAGCTGTATGCATAAAAAGTGATAAAAAAAGTTACTTGCACTTTGAATTTATACTATAATATAAACCGATTTATCTGAATAGTAATCAAATGTTTGAGTTTTTCAAACCATCTAAGACTTTTCAGACTTTAATTACTGTCTGAATCACCACCCAAAATCCCAACAGTAGTTAACAAGGACTTTTGCACAAACGTTAGCACAATCCTTCTCACAAGTCTTCAATCTTCTATGCAAGCATTGCAGAGAGAAAGAATCACATTCTCTATCTCTAGACAACCACATATCGTAAGTCAGAAATGTAGATTTTCCGTCAGGCATATGATCTGTATTATGGATAATCAGTATTTCACTATCTTTAAACAAACAGCTTTAGCAAATGAATTATTTTGGAATGCCAGCTGTGCACTGCAACATGAAGTCCTGCTGTCTAGAAAAAACTCCCACCACCCCACATACTGCATGAACTGCCAGACATACCACATACATTATCAAGACACTGCTTTTACCTTCCACAAATATGCAGTAAACATACCTTAGCCCCTGCAAGTTCCACCTTCCCCCCACTTCTTGATTTGCTTTTCAAAGTTAACTCAATTTTCAAAAGCAGAGTACTTGTTTCTATGGGACAAGACATAAAATCCCTTTTTCTTTGGATCTAACACATTTCAGGTGGCTTCAGAATTTGCATAATATATTGAGCATTTAAAAATATCAGCTTTCAAAACCTGACGCACCCACCACTTGTGCTTGTCATAATCATAAGCAGTAGGCTGTTATGTTAGATAGCTATAGAAATGGGTAGGCAAAGACAATTCCGATCCTGTACGTTCTACAATTGCATGTCAATCACGATTAGGGCGACAGCCAAGCAACAGGATTATCCAAATTATGAGGACTGTTCGAAGGATTTAAGGTTTTTTTGAACTGCAACCTAATCACCTGTAGCTGTGGAATTTTTTTTAGGCCTCACAGGTGAAACAAACATCCCCGTAACAGCAATTTTTCCTAGTCCACTGCGGCAATATTTAACTCTGATACACGTTTCTTTCCCAAAATGTTTTTCTCAGTGTGGTGGGTTGTGGGGTTTTTGGGGCATATGTGGTTTTTTCCTTTTTAAATTAGGCGGTTTTTACCTTTCTCCCCATTTTACAGAGGCGAACCGGGCCCAAGGTCACCAGACAACAGGAAGAGGCAGCCAGAATTCCTGATTTCCGCACTGTCCAAATTAGGACATGATATCAACGAAATATTACATTGCTACTGCCGTGGCCCTAGCAAGGTACTTCACATCAAAAGGCATTTGTTGGTCAGCAGCGCAGCCTGAGCTGGAAACGGGGTGAATGAGGTTCCGGGGGTTGCCCCCGGCCCAACCTCGCCGAAGGCTGTGCGTGGGCCGGGCAAAGAGCAGCGCCCAGCGCCCGACCCGGTTAGCCCCCCGGTGTTCTCCAGAGTTACAGAACCGCCAGGTCAGCCCCCGGCGAGCCAACCCTCCTTACCCAGGTAGATGTCCCCGAAGGAGCCGCTCCCGATCTTCCGGCCCAGCCGGTACCGGTTCCCAACCCTCAGCTCCATGGCGGCAGCTCGGCTCGTCCGCGACCCGGTTCTGTTGCTCTGCCCGGCCCGTCGGCTCGCGCTCTGATGCTTCACAGTCCTGCGGCTCCGGATGCCATCGCGGCTCTGGTCTCGCCGCTCGATACTGGCGGCGCAGGCGGCACCGCCGCCGCAGCTCCCCGACAGGATGGACGCGGATTAGCCGCGCAAGCAGCCCCTCAGCGCCGCGGAGCCCGAGCCGCCATTCTGTGTGACCTCACTTCCCTGGCGCCGGCCCCACCGCTCCGCCCCCCCGTGCTCGCTCCGGGCGGGGCCGCGCGGCCCCAGCCCTTCTCACCGGCTCGGTTCGACCGTGGCGGTCGTTCGGGTCGCAGCCTGCCGAGCGTGGGAGGTGTTGTGGTTCCGGCGGCCGTGGGTCACTGTAGTGGCGATGTATTCTGGCAGCGGTGCTTTCTGAGGAGTGCTCATTTGACTGCGGAGTGCCAGGGACAAAGTCTGAGTCATGACCCCGCAAATTTCAGGGGAAAACCCTGTCATTCTTGCTGGAGAGGAGTGTTGGGATCTCCTCTGCCTCTCTGGGCAAGGAAGGATTCCTCAACGGACATATCCAGCACCTCAGCAGAAACCCAAGCCATTAATTTGTTACAGAGGAAAAATTAGTGGTAATTGCTTCTGATCTGTGGAGAATTTCCTTTGGAATGATCAACCAGAGAGCGCATCAAGGCAGAGCATTTCTTTTGGCTCTTTTTTTTTTTTTTTTTTTTTTTTTTTTTTTTTTTTTTTTTTTTTTTTTTTTTTTTTTTTTTTTTTTTTTTCCCAGTTGAATCAGGCCTTCAGTGCATAGTCTGTGTTGTCCTACATGACTGCTTTGGTGCTGGGTCAGAGAGAGAGAAGGGGAATGACTTTTCATTCTCTTGTATTTTTCCAAGCAGAAGTGGGAGGTTGTCTTGCCCCTCCCCAAAGCACTGCAGGCATGTGGGAGTAGCTCCATGCTGGCCCCATTCTCTCAGAAATACCCATGCGGGAGAGGTTTAAGTCTTAATGACAACTCTGTGGTCTCTTGATGGCAAAGACTGGGTCCTACAGTTCCAGCCTGATGAGGGAGAACAGGAACTTCTGTTCTTCATGGCAAACTTTCTGTTACTCCTTGTACAGGTTTTTTTTTGTGTTTGTTTTTTTTTTTTTTTTTCCCCTTTTTTTTTTTTTTTTTTTTCTGTTGTGTGCGTTACTGTCCAGAATCTCTCCAGGAAAAGCTGTTGGAAATATAGAGGTAGAATTGGAATTTAGGTCTGTTCCCTACAAACTCCTACAAAGCCTGAAGGACTGGGCTGATGACTGCTCTAAACGAAGGTGGTTTATTAATATTTTAATAAATATTTCCCATCAGATTTCCCTCAACTCTGAGCAGGAAAGGCAAGGGTTAGGGTCAGGAGTTGTGCAAGTAAGACCTGTTGATTTCTTATGTGCATGTGTCAGTGTGGCAGGGCTGGGACAAGGAGGACTCGTGCAGGTACCTACAAAGAAGGTGGGAATAGGAGCGTGTTGTGGAAAGGAAAATTCCAGGTGGTAAGTGCTGAAAAATTTGTACTTCCCTTGTCCTGTGTTCTGCACTTTGTAATGGGTCAATTAATTGCATAAATTTCCTGGGGACCCTGGAAAATGATGCCCGGTCTGCTGAAAAGTGGGGCCAAAAGAGCAGGACCTGGGTCTGCAAGTGTGGGAGAAACAAGGGAGAGAACAAAGTAGGGGTCATGCTCTGCCTCCAGGAGGGAGGGCAGCAGGAAAGGACATGGACTAAACCACTGAAGTGCTATTCCCCAGGGAGCCCCTGCACAGCACTGAACTTCTTTCTGCACTTGCTGTCCCTTTCTCAGCAGAGCTGACACATTGTGTGCAGGTCCTGGGGGGATGGAGCTGCCAAGGACAAACTTGGGAGGGTGTTTGCAAAGGAAGGGGGTAGAACAAACTCTTCACGTGGTTTTTTTACTTCTGTATCTCACGATAGGAAATACTTCAGAGGGGCTTACATCCAAATAAACCCTGAATATCTCAGGAGGTTTCAGCTGGGAAAAAAGAGCTGTGGAAGAAAACCACCCTAAAAATAGCCAGGGATCATCAGGTTTTCCAGCAAAGAAAAACAAGGACAGAGATGAGGGAATCAGGTACTAATTAATAATGATTTGATGGGTGTAGGAATAATTTCTGTATGTTTTACAGTCCCTCTTTATTCCTGGGATGGTTTTAAAATTATGGCTTTAACAATCAACAAATCCTTGGATCCTAGAGTGGTTTGGGTTGGAAAGAACATCAGGGATCATCTCCTTCCATCTCCTGCCACAGGAAGGGACACTTTCCACTAGACTGTCCAGCCTGGCCTTGGCCACTTCCAGGGATAGGGCAGCCACAGCTCCTCTGTGCCAGGCCGCCTCCCCATCCTCCCAGGGAAGAATGTCTTCTTTATGTGCAATTGTTCCCTTTTTTTCCTCTGCAGGAAGTGGGCTGTGACAAGAGAATTGGCTCCCAGGAGGCTGAGGATCAGGGCAAGCTCTGCACAGGGTACGACTTCCACACCCCCGGGCAAATGGAGAAGAAGTAACATCTGCCTCCAGCTGGCTGGAGTTCCTGTTTACTCTGGGCTTTCTGTCCACCAGGAGGGGATCATGGCCAGAGTCATTCAAACCTGGAGAATGATGGCCTTCACACCATCCCTTCAGCCCGTTCAGGGCAGGCTGCTGCCCATTGGCCCCTGATCGCAATCCCCTTCCTGGATGTGGAAGTGATGGTGTTTAGGGAATGCTGATTGTATTTCCCAAACTTTGGCAACATGGTCATTAAAAAGAGAAAAATATCAAGTCTATGGAAATCCCCTGCAGTTGGGAGCTTGTGGTGCTCTGGATTAAATCTTGGCTTTATAACGTTAAAATTGTGGGTGAGGCGAGGGGCGGTGGCTGAGCAGGGCCAGTGGCGTGCTAGACAAGGCTGGCCCGGGGATTGCGCAGGGACACGGCCTGGAGGTCTCTTCCCTGCGGGGTCACAGCCGTGGGACCTGCCTCCGCCCCACGCAGCGCCTCCTGGTGTGCCCTGCCTATTGTTGGGGACTGTTTTCTTTCCCCGGTCCCGGCCGGTCTGCAAGGTGACGTTCATCGCCAAGGTTTGGGTGCAGGCTGTACTGGGACTGGGGTTTTGTCAGGCAGGATAACTTTTTAATTTTTGAGGCTTCCCGGGAACCGTGTTCTCGAGGGAGTGCTGTAAGCGTGCACCAATAGCCAGCGGTGGCTTGTGGGTAGTGGAGCGGTTGAGGTGTGCTGATGAAGGAGTGGGTGTGTGTAGTGTAGGGTTCTAACCTTGTGTTTGTGGTTTTTTCTGTTTCGTTTTTTTTTACACAATTTTTGATTTTAAGTAAAAAACCTCAGCTGGGGGTTTGTTGGTATTGCCGTGTATTGTTTTGTAATTGTGTTGACCACTGGAATACAATGTATGGCATCTGTGGATTGTACTGTATTTTTACTGTCTTGTAACTTGTATTGTAACTTGTATTGCAATGAGGGGAAAGGGTTAACCTTTTACAGGAAGACTGCTGCAAGGGTTGATGGGAGGTGTAGTCTCTGCAGCAGGCCCCCCGGCTTCTTCCTCAATAAACGGATTTGCTGGTTTGAACTTAAACTGGTTGGTCTGTGAAATTACTGCCACATTTTTGTATATACTATATAGGGCCTAATTAGTGCTCCAAATAAGAGTAACTGAAGGATTACAGATAACCCACACCTTACCTCCATCTGGAGCACTAATTAACAGGCAATTAATTACTAATTAATTGCTAATTATTCCATCAACCAAATTAATTTTTCACCATACGCTAACAAATCATACATGTGCACAAACACACCAAGTAATAAAAACAACGAAAACCAAACCCCCTTATTAATGAGCAATTAATTACTACATAATTACTTAATAAGTCAAATAAAGGAAGTAAGTGTTCCACCAGGACCACCAATTAATAGGCATTTTACAACTAATTAATTCCTTAATGACATTAATTACCTCAGTTTTCCACCAATCAATTAACTAATTAGTATTAGTTAATTAGTCAATACTATATTAACTAATTAATACTATTATATTTCTCATTGTTGTATTACTTTTATCCACTGATTAATTAATTTGATTTTTCCGATAATTTTTTATATAATAAATATTATATATTTTATTTATTTTATTTTTATTTAGGCATTTTATCCAGGCTGGGATTTTCCCTACCTGTCCACCAGCGATTGCCCTCGTTTTTACCCCGAAATGTCCATTCCCTCCCCAGCATGTCCCTTTTGTCCCGTCCAGAATCCCCTTC